CCACGGTGGGCTTCTGTGCTGACAGCTCAGAGCCTGGAGCCTGCTTCAGATTCTCTATCTCCCTCTGTATCTGCCCCTAACCTGCTTGCACTCTATCTCTCTCTCAAAAATAAATAAACATTAAAAAATTAAACACTTTTTATCTTAAAAGATTCAAATCATTCCTTGACCGTCAGCCCTCATGGGAAAACCACCACTCTTATCATCACCACAGCAACAACATACAACAGTCCAATGAACTCTGTACAATCCTTAATAAGTTGTGAAAAAGATGAACTTTCTTTTTTTTTGCTGCTGCCCAGAGTGTCTTTAAAATTTTTTGTCCTGGGGCGCCTGGGTGGCTCAGTCGGTTGAGTGTCCGACTTCAGCTCAGGTGAAGATCTCACGGTTTGTGAGTTTCAGCCCCACATTGGGACCTCTGCTGTCAGTACAGAGTCTGCTTCAGATCCTCTGTCCCCCTCTCTCTCTGCCCTTTCCCCGCTTGCATTCTCTCTCTCTCTCTCTCAAAAATAAATAAAACGTTAAAAAAATTTTTTTGTACTGTCACAACATGGATGGATCTAAAGGGTACGGGGTTAAGTGAAATAAGCCAGATAGAGAAAAACAAGGACCATATAATTTCACTTGTATGTGGAATCTTCAAGACAAAACAAAACAAACACAAAAAGAGACTCTGTTTTTTAAAGTTTTTATTTAAATTCCTGTTAGATAACATACAGTGTAACACTAGATTCTGGTATACAATATAGTGATTCAGCACTTCCATATGACATCCAGTGCTCATCAAAACAAGTGCACTCGACCCCCATCCCCCATCCACCCCATCCCCCTGACCACTTTCCCTCTGTCAACCATCAGTTTGTTCTATATAGGTAAGAGTCTGTTTCTTGGTTTTCCTCTGTCTTCCCTTACCCTGTGATCATTTGTTACTTAAATTCCACATATGAATGAAATTATATGATATTTGTCCTTCCCTCACTGAATTACTTCGCCTAGTATAATACTCTTTAGCTCCATCCATATCATTGCAAATGACAAGATTTCGTTCTTTTTTATAGCTGAGTAATATTCCATTGTATATATATATCCCACATCTTTATCCATTCATTAGTCAGTGAACAATTGGGCTGTATCCAGAGTTTGGTTACTGTTGATAATAGTGTTATAAACATCGGGGTGCGTGTATGCCTTCAAATTCGTATTTTTGTATCCTCTGGGTAAATACTTAGTAGTGTAATTGCTGGGTCGTAGGGCAGTTCTGATTTAAATTTTTGAGGAAACTCCACACTGTTTTCCAGAGTGGCTGCACCAGTTTGCATTCCCACCAACAGTGTAAGAGGGTTCCCCTTTCTCCACATCGTCAGCAACATCCATTTTTTATGAGTTGTTAATTTTAGCCATATGACAGGTGTGAGGTGGTATATCAGTGTGGTTTTGATTTGTATTTCCCTGATGATGAGTGATGTGGAGCATCTTTTCATGTGTCTGTTGGCCATCTGGATGTCTTCTTTGGAAAAGTGTCTGTTTATCTCTTCTGCCTATTTCTTCACTGGAATATTTATTTTTGGGGTGTTGAGTTGTATAAGTTCTGAATATATTTTGGATACTAACCCTTTATCAGATATGTCATTTGCGAATACCTTCTCCCATTCCATCAGTTGCCTTTTAGGTTTGTTGATTGTTTCCTTCACTGTGCAGAAGTTTCTTATTTTGATGAAGTCCCAATAGTTTATTTTTGCTAAAAATATTTTCTTAATTTCACTTTTGCAATGGTCATACTAGTATGTAGAAATACAATTGTTTTTTTTAAAGACACAAGATCGGTCTTTACTGATGACGGATTAGGCTGTAACCACTCTGGTCTGGATAAATGGAAGTCCATGTTGCTGAGTCTATGCATGATCTCCATCCCCGCCACAATGGCTACTTTATTAATGAGCCCATGGCGCACTGGTGGGTGTGGCTGGGGAAAGAGGCAGGCTGGTGTTCACAGAACAGTTCATCTTATCCACTTGAGTATGAAAATCCTTCTCTGCTGTGGTCACCCTTTGGTGAGCATTCACATGGGACACAGATATCATCACATTATTTTCCATTTAGAGAGGTCTATCCATATACCAATTAATCAGAGCTTCTTGTTACCAACTTTCTAATTGTTCCCCTTAGAGGTTCCCTGACCATCCAGCCAAACCATTCATTGGCTACTGCACATGAGTCAATATGTAAACACATATCTGGCCATTTCTCCTTCCAAGGAAAGTGAACAACCAGGTGCACTGCTTTAAGTTATGCCCACTGGGAGGATTTCCCTCCACCACTGTACTTCAGGGGTGTCCCAAAGAGGGGCTGTTGTGCCACACCTGCCCATCTGTGGGTGGCACCTGCATGTCATGAAGTACCATCTGTAAACCAGGCTCAAGTCTTCTCTTCCTCTGTTCACTGATCATAGGGAGCTTCTCATGAGGTCATAGGTGCAGGCTGGGAGAGAGGAGCAATGTAGCAGGTGTGGAGACCATGGGTGTTTGAGCCACTTCTTCACATAATGTATTTGTGCCTTTAGCCAGCTTAGGCTCAATCTCATACATATCACTTCCATTTGAGGATGGAGTGCCATTGTGTGCACCCAACTTTATTAAAAAGAAAAGCTTGGTGTGTCAAAGAACACCCAGTTCGTGATGGGCAGTTCAAATAACATGGCAATTTGGTGGCCCACGGTTAGGCATTCAGTCTCTACCAAGGCTCAGTAACAAACCAAAAAATCATTTCTCAAAAGGAAAGTAGTCATCTGCAAAGGATGGCAGGGCTTTGGTCTGAAGCCCTAAGAGCCTGTGCTGTGATTCATCTATAGGGGCCTGTCAAAGGCTCCAAACAAGCATCCCTATCTGCCACTGATATTTCAAGCACCATTGGATCTAGTGGATCATAAGGCTTGAGTGGTAGAGAAGCTTGCCTAAGAGTCTGAACCTGTTGTAGATATACTCTTGTTCTGGGCCCCAGTCAAAATTAGCACCTTTTCAGATCACTTGGAAATGGTCCATAATAACCACCTAAATGAGGAATATGTTGCCTCCAAAATGCAAAATCCAAAGAGGCCCACTAGGTGTTGGGCTTCTTTTGGGGGCATAGGAGGGTCCAGATGCAATAACTTATTTTTCACCTTAGAAATGATATCCTGACATGCCACACACCACTAGGCCCCTAAAAATTTCACTAAGGAAGGAGGCCCCTGAATTTTAGTTGGACTCATTTCCCACCCCCTGACATATAGATGTCTTACCAATAAGTGTGGAGTGGTTGCTGCTTC